ACTGCCTAGCATAGTACATTTTTAACACTGAAGATTGTTTCAAAAAATTAAAATTATCCAAATAGTTTAGCGAGTATGTCGTACTTGTTTGATATCACTTCATTACTGATAGACTTACTAGTCTCCGGTAGATGACAATTTTGCTTTTTGAATAGATGTGTCGCATTTTGATCGGGTTAGGTTAAAGTAGATAACAAGAAAGGCGACAAAGCAATCTACGAAGTGCATTGGAAGGTATGCAGATATTCATGAACGAAATCCTCGAAAATATTACGTGTAAAATTTGTGGATCACGCTGCATCGCTACGACCGGTTTTAGGACATTGCCCGAAGTCTTCAGACATCGATTTCAGTTGTCTTACGACCTCATTAGAAAGCTGACACGTTTTAACACTAATGAAACCGACTGGTCGCTATGCTCATGTCTTCAGTTGAAGATACTGACAGGAAATCGCATTAGAACATAGTTTTATTAACTTCACAATGCTTAGGTTGACGTCATTGATTTTATGGGTCAACCCTCGTTTTCCGAACCTTGAATGAACCGCAGAACAAACATGATTATGTAGTTAAAACTAATGAGATTCACTAATAGTTTAGCTCACAAAACATTAACGTGAAAAAAATGAAACGGGTTTCCAGAAGTTTTTTCCCACTAAGCATAGTGATTGAACCATCTCATACGAAAAAAACACTTTTGATAAAAAAGTTATAGATATTTGGATCAGTAACCGATATCCAACAAGAGTTTAAGCATAAACCCTATTTTACCTACCACAATCTTGGCAACCGAGTATCATTTTCAGCCTTTCATACATAAGGTATACCTTACAACCCAGAACATTAACCTGAACGAAAACGCTCGGCACCATGTATGATTATTATTCAATGGGATTAAATAATAATGTGAGAAGGAATTAAAAACCCATAAGTTCCCATGTTGGCCTAAATTATCCACACTCAATAATATTACATTATTCTTATATACCTCTATTTATAAAACATTCGCATTTAGGTACGCCACTTTAAAACACTGTGGTAAGGGTTCGAATTCATATACAAATTCTGGGATTCAAATTACCACTTACTTTTATAAAACACAAATGACAGAGTAGCAAAGTTATTGAACTTCGATGATGAGTTACATTTCCTCTAATATTTTCAACGTTACACCATACTGTACAGTGCACTCACTCTGATAAGCAAAACGTAAAGACAGTCATAAAAGCAGGTAACCTGAAAGCTCAAGCAGGAAGGTATTTATGGAATCCCATGCCAATAAACAGACAACGGTGATTATCTGCAGCAATTCTGTTCCGAAAATCACTTGTCTCTGGTCAGCACTAACTCTAGGTATAAGGAGAGACACTATCTCACATGACGTCCGCCGACTTTAAACCAACGAGGAACACAAACAGATCACATCGCTGTAAGCTATTGTTGGAGAGGATGGCTGTGCAATTGTCGCTCCTTCTGGAGTACGAGCTTCGACTCCGAACAAGCGCTGGTAGGGGCTGGTGTATCACTGCGCTTTACCAGTCGTTGGAAACAGGCGGCAGTGAAGCGTCTATTTAGTGGATTGGAAAATAGGTACGTCAAGTTCACATTGAGAGACGAGTTAAATAAGCATTTATCTGAACACGATAGAAATGATCATTCCAAGGAAACATAGCTCAGCGTTTTATTAGTGATCCCGTTGAGGCAGCAGTAAAAACAAATGATGACCTGAACCAAAAGGCAATCATAAGACAGTGGATTTCCGCGACGTCATCTGAACTGATCGATACGAGAAGATTAATTTCAGCTGACTCTGACCACGAAGAAGGGAGAAAGCAACTCAAACGTAATTTAACCAAGAGTCTTCATGCCGATCACGAATAGTGGTGGGTGACGAAAGCGAGAGACATGGAGACGGCGTCAGCGTTGGGTAACACTAGACCACTTTATTTAAGTTTCTAAGGATAAGGATACCGGCAAGAAGAAGACGATGGTGAGTGAAACAATCACCGAAAAGGATAGGACACTGATAAGCTCTCAGGACAGGTAGTAAAAACAGTTGGGTAGAACACGTTGAAGCATAGTTCAACTGGTCCTCAGCAACTCTCCAGTTGTCAACATTCAGTCTGAACATGAATGGGACTGAGATGTCGGTCCTCCAACTCTCCTTGAAGATGAGAAAGCTATCTCAAACGTGAAACGATAGAAAGTAGCAGGACCTGACAGTTTGTCACCCGAAGTTTCAACAATGCAGATATGAAATTGCAAATTAAAGTGACGCAAGTACTAGGTAGTGTGTGGGAATTAGAAGTTCCTTCAGACTGGTCTACTTCTCTGATCATTCCAGTCAACAAGAAGGGAAAGGAGTCTTTGTGTGACAACCACAGGGGAATTAGTTTGACTAATATCGTTATGAATATTCTGGGGGCCATAGTTATCCAACGCCTAACTGAAGCTCGAGAACAGAAAACTCAAGAAAAACAGACAGGCTTCAGACAGAGGTGGACGACGGTGCAACGACCATATTTTCACTCGACGACAAATTCTGGGGCACACACATGCCTAACGGTGGCCGACACTTGCCACATTTACTAACCTGAAGGTGGCATTTCACTCTGTCGACCATGAAGTGTTGTGACAGTGTCTGATTGTGAAGGGAGTATCGAGCAATCATATAATACTTATTAAAGCTCCCTACTTGAATTCATGACGCCGAGTGATGGCTTATGGAGAGTCGTCATGTGAATAGGCGGCGACTAGGATGTCCACTTTCACCGTTCCCGTTTACCTTCTTTATAGACGAGCTAATGGACATAACTTTATGTACATCTAACTTCACAGGGGATTGATCTACTCGCTGAAGGCCGCCTGGTTGACCTGGATTATGCAGACGATATAGTCCTGTTAGGTGGAGACGCCAAAAAAAATGCAGGGTCTTCATAACACCTTGAGCAGAAATAGGAGTATGTTTGGCATGCGTTTCACTGGCACCTGTCAAATGCAAGATGGTGATTCTGAACTGATCTGCTGCAATTACTCAAAGTTTAATGATAGAGTGAAGTGGGAAAATGTCTCGACCACTTCACCTATTTGGGGAGCTGCATCAGCCAGAAAGGGTTGGTAATCAACGAAATCTCAGCTTGCATACAAAAAGCTAGTTTGGCAATCGCCAACTTATCACCCATGGCGCCGACTTGCCAGATATCCAACAATACATCAAAGGACGAGTATAATGAGCTGCACTTCGTTTTGTCATGTTATACGGCTGTAAGACATGGTCTTTAAAAGTAGAGATATGAAGCAATAACAGGGTTTTGGTAGCAGATGCCTTCACAGCATTGCTCGCCTTTAGCAGAGTCGACATGTGACCAATGTTCAGGCAAAGTGAAAGGTACTAAGCAAAACAGGCAAGTCGGTCGATGAGTGTGTGATACTCAGTCAACTGAGATCGTTTGTTTATGTACTCCGCACGTCAAAGCACCAACTACCTCGACGTGCGTGTATGACAGGCATCAAGCTCTACCGTCACACACTATCCCTTATTTATCAGGTACCTTAGTCTCGAGATAAACTAGCCTTCCACGGTTTAGACCGTCCGCACGCTCCCAGTAACATAGAAAGTTTAATCAAATATAACCTATCCCCCTCAACTCTCTCTCCTATTTTGTCTTCACCTCCTCCTACCAATATTAGGCCTCTTATGCCCTACCCAACCTCTCACTCTGCAACCACTGCCAACGATCGAAGACATCGAAACTTCATTCGTAGTCTCCTGAGACCCCACCATTGATTTCATCTAGAGGCTTCCAATGTCCGAAGTCTATGCCGAATCGGACAGCAAGCATTGCTCTCGAGAACTCTGCAATCTTTAACCGTAGATGTATGCTGTGTCTGTGAGACAGGACCAGAGTGTGGTTATCGAACTAACCTCAACTGACCAGTGCGGTGAGGAGACCAAAACCCAATGACTAGCTCTCGTCGACTCGTAGATGTATGCACAGGATTGAGTTGTAGAGCGTAAAGCGCACTCCTCAACTGGATACCAGTCAACAGTCGTCCATGTACTGTTCGAGAAAATGGATCTGTAAGAACTAAGAAAGATCTTGAGGTCAACCCATGCCTATTAGTAATCTCCACCTATACACCCACCAACTGCAGTTCGGATAATGCAAAGGATGAATTATCGGAAAAGCTGTCAATCCTGCTAAAAACGTAAAACCAAAAATGATAACCTGTATCTAAATGTTACTAAGCAAAACAGGAAAGTCGGTCGATGAGGTTGTGACAATTAGTCGACTGAGATGGCTTGTGTATGTACTGCGCACGCCAAACCACCACCTACCTCGACGTGCATTGCTAAGGGAAATTGGATTAGGTTGGGCGAGGGTTCGGGGTGGCCAGATCAAGACGTTGCACTAGTGCATGAAGTCTATGACTATTGGTGTGATCCTTCTGGGATGGTGTAAACTCTGTGGCTGGGATCCTCGAGGCGATATGAATCAATGGTTGAGGACTCTTGGTGACATGGCTGAAAATCAGTCACAATGGTGCAGATGTACTCACTCCTTGGCATCTAAAGCTTGAATATTCGTACTAATTTTTATCTCCAAACTGTTCGTTCTCTCACACTATTTATGTTTTTGGGTGTCACTTTTTTTTCTATTCACCTGTTCGATATTTATTACTGTTAAGTGCGACAACTTGAGCTGATCCACCTGTTCGAGATGTTTTACGATGAGTTTTTCAGTGTCATTCAGTCTGATAGGTAGTCTTAACAGCTCTATAGGCGATGTGGGTCACTGCTGAAGTGGCGGTGAATTAAAGAATAGCAAAGTAAACAGCTTGATACACAAATCTTTACACAGCTGTCAAGGAAAGAACTTGATGAAATGCAGAAAATTTCAGAAAATGGTATTGAAAGTTCACATGAAACTACTTGAAAAAGTCATCTATTTACTCATATATACGTGCATACATAAAATTAGTAATGAATGAAGACTTACCTCATCTGGATTTACATTGAACTTTCTAATCAATTCATGGTTATGATCGGATTCGGAACTGATGTATCCTGCAGCCAAGTGATCTGCAGCTCTGAAAGCACCAATACAATAGCGTAATGGTGGCAGTGCTAACGGTTTAATGAACAACATTCTAGGCCGACTGTCACGACGCCAACCATAATGAATGTATTCACAAACTGACTGTAATCACTGATCATTTGTATTAATGGCGTGTCAATTGTGGTACTAAGAAATGCAGGTAACGCCTTGGATTTCGATGGATTCGATTTCATGATAACATTTCTTAGTGCATCGATTAGGCTGTTATGATTGAAATCCCCTCGAGAGTAATAAGTAACCTGGAAAAAAAGAAGAGTATTTTAGTAGAAAATGACCTAATAGTAATTAACTAATGTAGACTGAAAGCTACCAGTTCAGTTAAAACATTGTGTCATAAAATATAGGAACTTTCTTCCTCAAATAATGTTGGAGAGATAAAAAATAATGAGTAACGTCGCGAATAATCCCCACTTAGGGAGTCGTGACGCACTGACAGATGTTAACCCATCTCAAGAATCATTCTTCCCACGGTCCCATCTCATACACTGGTCTCCTCTTCCAATAAACACCAGAGTAAGCGAACAATGAAGTATTTGGGAGTAATTGGGAAAACATACACAACGCATGTTTAAGTCAATTAGGCCAATATTCGTTCAAGATGACCCCACTAAGTTAATGACAATCCCTATCAGGCCGAAACACAGACTGCCTCTCCTTAGAAATGCTCACTTGGTTTTTTAACCGAATACCAGAGATTCTACAGGAGCAACGGTGATCAAATAACTGTTCATCAAATATCCTCAACTCACAAAAGCTAGATTTCAGGGGCGTACAGCAAAACTGCCCTCAACCACACGTTAGTTATTTGACCTTTTATTAAGAGGCTAACGTCACGATAATGCCAAAGGTGGTCCATCATTGGCGCATTTCTCCCTGGCTTTCAATATACAGCTAGAAATGGCTTAGTCATACATCCACCAGCAATCGTACAACTACTCCCTGTACGAAAAATTTTCATCTCCTTTCAACAGTCCATCATTAAGGGTAAGCGCAGGCATATGTTTCTGGCAATCTTGTGAAAGCACTTTTTAGTTCGACGGTAAAGAGCACATACCGTACTTCCAAACGCTAACTGGTTGAGTGCGGTTTGAGTAGCCTGTGTACTGTCGCAAAGCGAAACGACATCGTTCGCAAACTCGATGTCAAAGTCTTTAACCACGACCATTATACATCTTCTTTAGTGCTGTCTCGGCAATGTCATCCACAGCAACAATCTGTTCTTTGAGCTCAGCTCAGAGAACACAATCCAACCAAGAGTTCCGCCTAACTCCACTACTAGTTTGGAACAGTGAAGACAGGTGGTTATATGCCCCCGCTCTACCTATGCTTTTAAAGAATAGGGTCATCCTGATATTGAAAAACTTATCAGGGACATATCTTACCAACAGATAACTTCAGAATGCAGCCTTCTTCAAAGAATCGAAGACTCTCAATATTGAGAAATACAACCGTAGTTAGCCTGTAATATGTATGATGGTATTTCAGCATTTGACAGGGGTGAACGTGTGATCAGCGCCTCCATGACCAAAACGAAACAAAGTTTGCTTCTCATGAATCAAGTTTCGATGCGCTTTGCAGAGCTTGTGAAGGATGATAGTGGTCAGTATTTGGACGCTACTGATAAAAAACCAATACCCCAATGATTAAAACCCACATTATGTACACATTGTTTAAAGATGGGTGCATCATCATCAATATCAACATCGAGTCAGACATTACTGCGTAACGGTCCGAGTTGCCACACCTCATATCACTACATCAAGTAAAAAGGCAGTGAGGTGGGGGATGAAGATAAGTGAATGCAGTCAAAAGAAATATAAAGTACGAGAAGAAAGGAAGAAAGACAAAATGGTGAGAACCGGTATAGTGTTAAAATAAAGATAATGTGTGTATACATCAGCGCCACTGACATAGGTTCTGAGCCATATCCCCTAGAGTCCTCCAGCCACTGGTTTCTCTTGTCCCGTTGACCTCACCACCTAGTCTGCATCGCCCCACATGGCTCAAACAGCAGTCAGAGACTTCATACATTGGTGCCATGTTTTAGTCTGGCCATCTCGGGCCTTTTTCCAGCCTGGACATACTCTGGTCAACATTGTGTCATGAGGCAATCGGTGACTAGGAATACGTAGTACGTGTCCCAACCATCTCAGTCAATGAAGGTTCATAACCTGGTCAACAGATTTACCTCTACTCCCTAAAACTCTATACCTGACTTCTGCATTACTCATGTAGTGACACCCGATCGATAGCTGCTACCTTGACGTGGTGGTCGGGCTTGCATATCACAATGACCCAACGAGCTATGCTGGTGGAACAGTTGTTTCCTCGAGGTCCTATCATATCAGAAAGGTCTGTTGGATAGTGGTTAGACGAAAACCAGTTACCGTTGTGGTGAAAATTACTACACTATGATGGGGGTCTGAGGTTGAAGTCGTACTGCTGCTAGCTGGATGGGGTGTGACAGCAGTAAGGTGTTTCCCCTGAATGACCAGCAGTGCCATGCTGATGCTGCCTTCTCAGTGGAAGGGGAGGTTAGAAAAGGTCGGCCCCAAAAATAACACACTCCACCATGCCTCACGGTCTACCGGGCCGGCGGTATTGGTTCACTTGTCGTTTCCTTTCGATCATCCGGCCCCAAAAATACAAAAGTTCAAAATAATCACACTCAAAAGGCTATGTGTGACAGGCCTCAAGCAGATGTCCGATGGGCTCTGCGGTCACACAAATCTCTTTCAGGTACCTTAAGAAATAGCCTTCCACGGTGTGGGCAGCCGGAGAGTGTCAACCGCTCTCACAACTCTACCAGCACTCAAGCTTCCTCAGACCGCTATCCATCTCTCCATCATTACCTTCTAATCTTCCTTCACGTCTCCCAACTAACAACACTACATCATCTTCAATTTCTCCTAGCTCTGTAGCCTTCGACAACGGTCTGAGTCCACAAAACAGCATCCCGAGTCTCCGTAAACCACGCTCCGAATCACATATTGGAGCCTTCAATGTCCGCAACCTCCGTCAAATTGGTACTTCAGTACTTGGAGTTCATTACAGACCTCTGCTTTTTCCATGAGGGTGGGAGTTAAATAACCACAGGGTACAAGACATTAAAATGGTTGTTATTGATACAGCAGGCCAGTAAAATCCTTTCTCGAGGTACTTCAACCAGCGTTCCGGATGTCGATAAAAGTTGTGGGTAGAAGCACTATCTGTTTCATAGACTGTTGCATTGACACCAAGCTTCTTACTGTCGGTGGTGCAAAGATGGAACACGTTCACTGAAGCATGCACTAAACTTCCATGCGAAAAGCTGGAACTGAATTTTGAACAGATGGTCTATTTGAACCTTAGGGCACCAAATACTTCCTACCATTTATACTACATCAAACTGCTCTGTTTTAACTTCTTTAAATCATTCAAATATGTCTTCAAATCGTGTTATACACTCTAGAGCATTTTAAAAGTGTTTCCAACCAGCCTTTTATCAAGTTATCAATAAAATGGAGAAAAGATGTCACGATAGCTTGTTTTGGTAGGTATGCATGTGTTCCAGAATCTGTCAGAGGGTAAAAATATGGTCAGTGCACCCTGATCCAGGTCTGAAACCTGCCTGGTTTTCTCAAGTTTGTTTTCCAGCTCCAGTTAGGCGTTAGTTAACTATGGAACCGAACATTTTGGAAACCACGGTAGTGAAACTGACGCATCTATGCTGGTCATACAGAGTTATCTCCCTTCATACAAACTGGAACGACCAGCGATCTAGGCAAGAGTGACAGGACTGCCTCTTATTCCGATACGCTAACTATTACCTCCGTTGCTCTATTCAGTAAGCTTTTACCCATTTCCATGAAAACGTCTGGTGGTAAACTGTTTGATCCCGCTGCTATGAATCATTAGGAAAATTGAAACCTCCTCAACATCAAAGGACCAACACCTACATCCCATTTGGTTTCAGGCTGTGCTGGGTAACTGAAACAACAGAGCGCACCTGTGTATCCTTTATAAGCCTAGATGATTGCTGAATATTGTCTATTGCTGCTGACTTCTCTGGAGTTCACCACCCAATAATGTTCCAAATAATTGCAAAGCCTTTAAGTTGATATGCGTTTGAGCTGGCTTTACTCCTTCTTGTGGTCAGAGTTAGCTGGAATGATTTTTCTCAAATCAATCAGTTCAGATGAGATTGTGGGAAGCCATTGGCTCTTGCTAACATTTAGATTTAAGTTGTCACCTGTCCTTACCACTGTTTTTACAAAAGACTGAATATCACCCTAGGTTTCATCAAGAAGAGAACTGCTACCATATTCAAATAAATGATTCGGTATCCAGTCACTAAATGTACAATGGATATTCTCATGTTCCACCTAAGCATATAGTAATAAAGAAGCGAAATCCACTCAGCTACCTTGTGTACATTCGTGGGGTAGGCGATGAGCCGCACCTGTTGCGTGAGGGCTAGTGATACTACCTGGTCGTCCAAATTATTATAGGTGGAGCGGTTTTCGAACCCGTGATACAGTGGTTGAAAGTCAACTCTCTAAACCAGTGAACCATAACTTCTCAAGCACATTTAGGCTCCATTACTGCCTGCTTCTTGCTACCAGCAACGGATAAACATGCAGTTACCCTTATCCAAATAGGTAGTCCGGAAAGGGCCACAATCCTTCATCGGCATAATCTGACGATGGCATATAGCGATATGATCTATCCCAGTTGACAGCTGCTATCTTGAGGTGGTGGTCGCGCTTGTGTATCATAAGGACTCAACGAGCTACACCGGCTGTAACGCTTGTTCCCTCGAGGTCCTACTACACCATAAAGGTTTGTTGAATAGTGATAAGACGAAAAGCAGTTACTGTTGTGTAGAAAATAGCTACATTATGATTGGAGTCCAACGGCGAAGGCGTATTGCTTCGTGAATAGAGCGTGACAGCAGTAACCTGCGACTCCCTGGAATGACCATCAATGTCATACTGACGCTACCTTCCCTTTCATGAAAGAGGGTAAGAAAGGGTTGACACAAAAATAGCACACTCCACTCTGCCCATGGTCTCCCAGTGCCAGTGGTATGAGTTCTTTCTGTCTGGCGTTGGAACAACAAAATTTCACATCAGTAATCTGTGAAAGACTGTGTGTGACAGGCATCAAGCTCTACCGTCACACACTATCCCTTATTTATCAGGTACCTTAGTCTCGAGATAAACTAGCCTTCCACGGTTTAGACCGTCCGCACGCTCCC